CACTTAAAAAGATGAGAGAGGCCTGTAATTTTCATCATAGGTACACGTCAACTATGACAGACAAAATGAGAATTTTTTTTCTCCAGAAAATCACATTGTAGGATTTTTAATGAATTTATTTGCAAATTATGGTGGAAAATAAGTATTTGGTCAATAACAAAAGTTTCTCAATACTTTGTTATATACCCTTTGTTGGCAATGACACAGGTCAAACGTTTTCTGTAATTCTTCACAAGGTTTTCACACACTGTTGCTGGTATTTTGGCCCATTCCTCCATGCAGATCTCCTCTAGAGCAGTGATGTTTTGGGGCTGTCGCTGGGCAACACGGACATTCAACTCCCTCCAAATATTTTCTATGGGGTTGAGATCTGGAGACTGGCTAGGCCACTCCAGGACCTTGAAATGCTTCTTACGAAGCCACTCCTTCGTTGCCTGGGCGGTGTGTTTGGGATCATTGTCATGCTGAAAGACCCAGCCACGTTTCATCTTCAATGCCCTTGCTGATGGAAGGAGGTTTTCACTCAAAATCTCACGATACATGGCCCCATTCATTCTTTCCTTTACACGGATCAGTCGTCCTGGTCCCTTTGCAGAAAAACAGCCCCAAAGCATGATGTTTCCACCCCCATGCTTCACAGTAGGTATGGTGTTCTTTGGATGCAACTCAGCATTCTTTTTCCTCCAAACACGACGAGTTGAGTTTTTACCAAAAAGTTCTATTTTGGTTTCATCTGACCATATGACATTCTCCCAATCCTCTTCTGGATCATCCAAATGCACTCTAGCAAACTTCAGACGGGCCTGGACATGTACTGGCTTAAGCAGGGGGACACGTCTGGCACTGCAGGATTTGAGTCTCTGGCGGCGTAGTGTGTTACTGATGGTAGGCTTTGTTACTTTGGTCCCAGCTCTCTGCAGGTCATTCACTAGGTCCCCCCGTGTGGTTCTGGGATTTTTGTGATCATTTTGACCCCACGGGGTGAGATCTTGCGTGGAGCCCCAGATCGAGGGAGATTATCAGTGGTCTTGTATGTCTTCCATTTCCTAATAATTGCTCCCACAGTTGATTTCTTCAAACCAAGCTGCTTACCTATTGCAGATTCAGTCTTCCCAGCCTGGTGCAGGTCTACAATTTTGTTTCTAGTGTCCTTTGACAGCTCTTTGGTCTGGCCCATAGTGGAGTTTGGAGTGTGACTGTTTGAGGTTGTGGACAGGTGTCTTTTATACTGATAACAAGTTCAAACAGGTGCCATTAATACAGGTAACGAGTGGAGGACAGAGGAGCCTCTTAAAGAAGAAGTTAAAGGTCTGTGAGAGCCAGAAATCTTGCTTGTTTGTAGGTGACCAAATACTTATTTTCCACCATAATTTGCAAATAAATTCATTAAAAATCCTACAATGTGATTTTCTGGATTTATTTATCCTCAATTTGTCTGTCATAGTTGACGTGTACCTATGATGAAAATTACAGGCCTCTGTCATCTTTTTAAGTGGGAGAACTTGCACAATTGGTGGCTGACTAAATACTTTTTCCCCCACTGTATATATATATATATATAGAGAGAGAGAGAGAGTGAGAGAGAGAAGAGTTTTGTGGGGGAAGGGATGTGTTTTAAGCTGTTTCTGACTTGAGGCATGAGCAGAGCTGAGCTGGGGAGGCGTGCGTGCCATCGTGCCAGAGATGATACAGATAGAGCCTTTCTTTTAATCAGAGAGTCAGAGCTCACATAAACAATTCAATGGCTTTATGGCCACTGTCTGATGACTATATGGCTGAGTAAATCCACATTTATTCAGGGTGGAGATTGTCTACTGTACCACTGGGTTTCTGTGCCATGATATAGACTATGTAATGAGGCTCTATTGTCATGCCATTTCATGCAAGTGATGATCCTCCCCTCTCACTGACTAGCCAACCAGGAGCATTTCGTTTTATTCTGTACGTAAAGCCGAGACACTCCATTTAGTATGATATGTTACATTTCGTATGGTATTTATTATTTGTGGATGTCCATCACCCATTTCATATGATACACTACAGTACATGACCAAAAGTATGTGGACACCTGCTCATCGAACATCTAATTCTAAAATCATGGGCATTAATATGGAGTTGGTCCCCCCATTGCTGCTATAATGGCCTCCACTCTTCTGGGAAGGCTTTCCACTAGATGTTGGAACATTGCTGCGGGGACTTGCTTCCATTCAGCCACAAGTGCATTAGTGAGGTCGGGCACTGATGTTGGGCGATTAGGCCTGGCTCACAGTCGTCGTTCCAATTCATCCCAAAGGTGTTGGATGGGGTTGAGGTCAGGGCTCTGTGTAGGCCAGTCAAGTTCTTCCACGCCGATCTCGACAAACCATTTCTGTATGGACCTCGCTTTGTGCTAGGGGGCATTGTCATGCTGAAACAGGAAAGGGCCTTCCCCAAACTGTTGCCACAAAGTTGGAAGCACAGAATCGTCTAGAATGTAATTGTATGCTGTAGCATTAAGATTTCCCTTCACTGTAACTAAGGGGCCTAGCCCGAACCATGAAAAACAGCCCAGACCATTATCCCTCCTCCACCAAACTTTACAGTTGGCACTATGCATTGGGGCAGGTAGTGTTCTCCTGGCATCCGCCAAACCCAGATTTGTCCGTCGGACTGTCAGATGGTGAAGCTTTACACCACTCCAGCCGACGCTTGGCATTGCGCATGGTGATCTTAGGCTTGTGTGCAGCTGCTCCGCCATGGAAACCCATTTCATGAAGCGCCCGACGAACAGTTATTGTGCTGACGTTGCTTCCAGAGGCAGTTTGGAACTCATTAGTGAGTGTTGCAACCGAAGACAGATGATTTTTACGCTCTACGCACTTCAGCACTTGGCGGTCCCGTTGTGTTAGCTTATGTGGCCTACCACTTCGCAGCTGAGCCGTTGTTGCTCCTAGACGTTTCCACTTCACAATAACAGCGCTTACAGTTGACCGGGGCAGTTCTAGCAGGCGGTGCCACAGTGAAAGTCACTGAGCTCTTCAGTACGGGCCATTCTACTGCCAATGTTTGTCTATGGAGATTGCATGGCTGTGTGCTTGATTTTATACACCTGTCAGCAATGGGTGTGGCTGAAATATCCAAATCCACTCATTTGAAGGGGTGTCCACAGTATGTTACGAATTACAATTCGTATTATATGTTACGAATTTGCAAAATGTACAATATGTTACAGAATTCACAATTTTCGAAACGTATGATATGCTACGAATTCTAGATAGGTGGCTAACGTTAGCTAGGCTAGGGGTTAGGGTTAATGTTAGGGTTAAGTTTAGGAGTTAGGATAAAGGGTTAAGGTTAGGGTTAGGGGAAGAGTTAGCTAACATACTAAGTAGTTGAAAAGTAGCAAAAAAGTAGTAAGTAGTTGAAAAGTTGCTAATTAGCTAAAATGCTAAAGTTGTTCGTGATGAATTTGAACTCGCAACCTTTGGGTTACTAGACGTTCACGTTATACACCCACCCATCTACCCCAACCAACCACCCTACTTTCATTTTTGCCTTAAATAATCATCTGTCTTATGTAACCATACCAAACGAATTTGAGGGTCCCGGATTTACATTTACTATGTTACATCTAGTCTATGAGACCAGGCTGGACTAGCTGTAGTTCAGCACTATGGTGTCTACTGCCTACCCCAACCCTACTGTGGTGAGCCAGGCAGCTGGCTAGATATTTTATTTTCACATTTTATTTTTTCAGTAAAAACATAAGAAAGTAAAAAATTCAGTCCCATCCCATCTTTAACATGGATTAAAAACGATAGCCGCAGTCTAGAACCGAAAGGCTTACCAATCGGCTAGCCACTCATTGTCAATTGAATGATATGTCCCAACCAGCCTCCACCACAGATCCAGGGCTGTATGTGTCAAGCTTCTCAGTGTAGGTCCCCCCTGTCCTTATTTATCGTGATCTAAAAGGCAAAACCGATCCTAAATCAGCACTCCTACGCTTGGTACAAACTGTTAGATATTTGTGATCCCGATAAACGCTCCTGAAAGGGTCATTTAATGGGTTTCCAGAAGACACAGAGCTGTCCTCCTCCTCTCCTCAGACGTGCCAGCTGGAAGTCCTATGTCCCATCTGACATTAGACAGCATGGAACAGGCATGGAGGAATGGAGCTCTGAACTGTTCAACACTGACGGATGGCCCAAACAAAAATCTGTCACTGAAGGAGTCAAATTAATAATAAACCTCAAACAGGCCTGTTTACTGTAGCTTGTTGCTATGACAGCAGGTTACCCGGGGAGACTGTTTGGCTTTATAGGCTTTTGTTTAGCAGATTTATCACCACAGCAATGGTTGTTTGTGTTTGTGTTACTATGCACGACGACGTCTGAACGGAGAAGCAGAATGGTGTATAGTCATATTAAACAGCCGTACGCATGGCCCCTCGGTGGGGTGGATGTGATTGGTTGAGCTATAATAACACCTGACATCATGTTGATGACTACTAGGCTGTATCCCAAATGGACCCTGGTCGAAAGTAGTGCACCATATAGGGAATAGGGTGCCATTTGGGACGTAGCCCTAGTAGAAAGCAGAACATGGAACACCAGAAAATCTAAAAACCCTTGTCGCAGAGAAGTTCACTTTCACACATAAACACATCGTCTGTCTCTGTCAAGGTAGTGCCGAAGACGCTTCTCCCTGTGTTTATCTGTAGAACACACCATTACACAGCAGGGCCATCATTCTCCTTTGAAGCTCTCAAACTGTGATGAGGGGCATTCAAATGACAAGCCAAATCATGTCTCGAGTGGCACCCTATACCCTTTATAGTGCACTACTTTTGATCAGGGCACTATATAGGGAAAAGGGTGTCATCATATTTATGATGTGACACGAAGACAGAGGTCAATGTCAACAGCAGCAGAATTCTCTCACTGAATTCCACAGACTCTTCACTCTGTGACATCTGTACTTTGGCATTTCTAAGTGGCTGGTTGGTTGTTTTACATTTCAGGAAGAAATCCTGTCGCACCATCACGTTTGACGAGTTCAAGGCAGCGGTGGGAGAGCTGGCCAGAAAGAGATTCAAGGAGAAAACGGGAGAGGAGGCGGAGGGGGAGGTCTTTAGGATGATTGAGGGGAAAAAACCTGTCATTAAAGGAGTCACGGTAAGGTCCCAAAGCAGCAGGAAATGACACCCAATAGTACTGACTTTAGATAGGAATTAATACAGTATATAGATATGCTACAGACCAATATGAGTTTGTCCGAGCCAGAACGGCCCATAGGGCCCATTCTGTAGCGTGATGCAGCTTGAGGCACCAGTACCAGTACATCCCCTGGATAGGATGCTAGTGGCCACTGTGATGTGTATATAGAAACAACTGCTGGGTATGACTCAGGGATGCATCCCAAATGGCACTCTAATCCCTTTATAGTGCACTACTTTTGACCAGGGCCCACAGGGTGCCATTTGGGACGCATTCTCAGAACAAACTCAAATCATTATCGTGCATGACCTTTTTTATGTGACTTTCTTTCTGTCCACAGAGAGCGGTGGCTTCTCCGACCGTGTCTCGTCTGACGGACACCACCAAGTTCACTGGGTCACACAGGGAGCGCTTTGACGGGAGTGGCCGTGGGAAGGGGAAGGCAGGTCGCGTGGACATGGTGGACACATCCGGGTATGTCGCAGGATACAAACACCATGGGTCATATGAGAAGAAAGTCACCAAGCCCGCCGGGCCCCCTGGAGCCGGGCCCCCTGGAGCCGGGCCCCCTGGAGCCGGGCCACCTGGAGCCAGGCCCCCTGGAGGAGAGCCCCCTGGAGCCAGGCCCCCTGGAGGAGGGCCCCCTGGAGCCAAACAAGTGTGAGGACAGTAGGAAAGAAACAAACAAACAGAAACCTAAGACCAACTACTAGGATAATACTTTTCTAAAGAAAGAACTCCATGAAAGCACAACAAAAATATAGGATTTCATATTTTCCCAGCCATCTTGTGTTTTCATTTTGCGCGTGGGATGTTTTGAGTTCCTCTCTTTCTGTGGTGTGTGAGAACTGGAAAACTGTTTACATCTATTTTTACATAGCTATCAGCAGCTGGTACATTCCAAACAGATAGCAAGTTACTGCCAAACGTTAAAATGAACCCACCAACCAACAAGGGAAACCAACTGCTTTGCTCTGTATTTTTGAAACCTCTTTACTGTGATAGGGCCTTAACATATTTATTATAAGCACTATGAATAACACGATGCCAAGAAAAACTAAGAGAAGAGGGAAGAAAGGGTTCGCCAAATTGTTTAACAAAATTGCACTTTGCTATGGAAAGGCTATAGCTTCTTTTGCTATATTTAGTTGAAGAAATGCATCCTTAATTTCATACTTTTTTTATAGTTAGATTTAATGTTTATTGGCGTAAATTGGTGAAGTAGATATACTGATAGTTTGTTAGATTGATCATACCATCTTCAATATCAACGATCTGCCTTTCCTCTGGTCAATGAAGTCTGCTGTATGAGTCTTCATTTACTGTCTAGCTGTCTGTCTGTTCTCCTTTATAGTTCATCATAGTTTACACATATTGATGACTACATAGTTTGCCGTTCAGTTGTTCTTAAAATAACTCAACCTTGAACAGGATATGTACAGTGGGGAAAAAAAGTATTTAGTCAGCCACCAATTGTGCAAGTTCTCCCACTTAAAAATATGAGAGAGGCCTGTAATTTTCATCATAGGTACACGTCAACTATGACAGACAAAATGAGAAAAAAAATTCCAGAAAATCACATTGTAGGATTTTTAATGAATTTATTTGCAAATGATGGTGGAAAATAAGTATTTGGTCAATAACAAAAGTTTCTCAATACTTTGTTATATACCCTTTGTTATCAATGACACAGGTCAAACGTTTTCTGTAAGTCTTCACAAGGTTTTCACACACTGTTGCTGGTATTTTGGCCCATTCCTCCATGCAGATCTCCTCTAGAGCAGTGATGTTTTGGGGCTGTCGCTGGGCAATACGGACTTTCAACTCCCGCCAAAGATTTTCTATGGGGTTGAGATCTGGAGACTGGCTAGGCCACTCCAGGACCTTGAAATGCTTCTTACGAAGCCACTCCTTCGTTGCCCGGGCGGTGTGTTTGGGATCATTGTCATGCTGAAAGACCCAGCCACGTTTCATCTTCAATGCCCTTGCTGATGGAAGGAGGTTTTCACTCAAAATCTCATGATACATGGCCCCATTCATTCTTTCCTTTACACAGATCAGTCGTCCTGGTCCCTTTGCAGAAAAACAGCCCCAAAGCATGATGTTTCCACCCCCATGCTTCACAGTAGGTATGGTGTTCTTTGGATGCAACTCAGCATTCTTTGTCCTCCAAACACGACGAGTTGAGTTTTTTACCAAAAAGTTATATTTTGGTTTCATCTGACATTCTCCCAATCCTCTTCTGGATCATCCAAATGCACTCTAGCAAACTTCAGACGGGCCTGGACATGTACTGGCTTAAGCAGGGGGACACGTCTGGCACTGCAGGATTTGAGTCCCTGGCAGCGTAGTGTGTTACTGATGGTAGGCTTTGTTACTTTGGTCCCAGCTCTCTGCAGGTCATTCACTAGGTCCCCCCGTGTGGTTCTGGGATTTTTGCTCACCGTTCTTGTGATCATTTTGACCCCACAGGGTGAGATCTTGCGTAGAGCCCCAGATCGAGGGAGATTATCAGTGGTCTTGTATGTCTTCCATTTCCTAATAATTGCTCCCACAGTTGATTTCTTCAAACCAAGCTGCTTACCTATTGCAGATTCAGTCTTCCCAGCCTGGTGCAGGTCTACAATTTTGTTTCTGGTGTCCTTTGACAGCTCTTTGGTCTTGGCCATAGTGGAGTTTGGAGTGTGACTGTTTGAGGTTGTGGACAGGTGTCTTTTATACTGATAACAAGTTCAAACAGGTGCCATTAATACAGGTAACGAGTGGAGGACAGAGGAGCCTCTTAAAGAAGAAGTTACAGGTCTGTGAGAGCCAGAAATCTTGCTTGTTTGTAGGTGACCAAATACTTATTTTCCACCATAATTTGCAAATAAATTCATTAAAAATCCTACAATGTGATTTTCTGGATTTTTTTTTTCTCATTTTGTCTGTCATAGTTGACGTGTACCTATGATGAAAATTACAGGCCTCTCTCATCTTTTTAAGTGGGAGAACTTGCACAATTGGTGGCTGACTAAATACTTTTTTTCCCCACTGTAGAAGTTCTGTGTCTTCTTGTCTTTAGATACGTACAGTACCAGTCAAAAGTTTGGACACACCTGCTCATTCAAGAGTTTTTCTTTATTTTTACTATTTTTTACATTGTAGAATAATAGTGAAGACATCAAAACTATGAAATAACACTTATGGAATAATGCAGCTCTGGATAAGAGCGTCTGCTAAATGACTAAAATGTAAATGTAAATATAGTAACCAAAAAAGTGTTAAACAAATCAAAATATATTTGATATTCTTCAAATAGCCACCCTTTGCCTTGATAATACCTTTGCACACTCTTGGCATTCTCTTAACCAGCTTCACCTGGAATGCTTTTCCAACAGTCTTTGAAGGAGTTCCCACATATTCTGAGCACTTGTTGGCTGCTTTTCTTTCACTCTGCCGTCCGACTCATCCCAAACCATCTCAATTGGGTTGACGTCAGGGGGATTGTGGAAGCCAGGTCATCTGATGCAGCACTCCATCACTCTCCTTCTTGTTAAAATAGCCCTTACACAGCTTGGAAGTGTGTTGGGTCATTGTCCTGTTGAAAAACAAATGATAGTCCCACTAAGCCCAAACCAGATGGGATTGGCATATCGCTGCAGAATGCTGTGGTAGCTATGCTGGTTAAGTGTGCCTTGAATTCTAAATAAATCACAGACAGTGTCACCAGCAAAGCACCCCCACACAATAACACCTCCTCCTCCATGCTTTACGGTGGGAACTACACATGCGGAGATCGTCCGTTCACCCATACCACGTCTCACAAAGACACGGCGGTTGGAACCAAAAATCTCCAATTTGGACTCCAGACCAAAGGACACATTTCCACCGGTCTAATGTCCATTGTTTGTATTTCTTGGCCCAACAGGTCTCTTCTTCTTATTGGTGTCCTTTAGTAGTGGTTTCTTTGCAGCAATTCGACCACGAAGGCCTGATTCACACAGACCCCACTGAACAGTTGATGTTGAGATGTGTCTGTTACTTGAACTCTGTGAAGCATTTATTTGGGCTGCAATTTCTGAGGCTGGTAACTCTAATGAACGTATTCTCTGCAGCAGAGGTAACTCTGGGTCTTCCATTCCTGTGGCGGTCCTCATGAGAGCCAGTTTCATCATAGCACTTGATGGTTTTTGCGACTGCACTTGAAGAAACTTTCAAAGTTCTTGAAACTTTCCAGATTGACATGTCTTAAAGTAATGATGGACTGTCATTTCTCTTTTCTTATTTGAGTTGTTCTTGCCATAATATGGACTTGGTCTTTTACCAAATAGGGCTGTCTTCTGTATACCCCCCCTACTTTGTCACAACACAACTGATTGGCTCAAACGCATTAAGAAGGAAATAAATTCCACAAATTAACTTTTAAGAAGGCACACCTGTTAATTGAAATGCATTCCAGGTGACTACCTCATGAAGCTGGTTGAGAGAATGTGAGAGTGTGCAAAACTGTCATCAAGGCAAAGGGTGGCTATTTGAAGAATCTCAAATATAAAATATATTTTGATTTGTTTAACACTTTTGTGGTTACTGCATGATTCCATAAGTGTTATTTAATAGTTTTGATGTCTTCACTATTATTCTTCAACGTAAAAATAGTAAAAATAATGAAAAAACCCTTGAATGAGTAAGTGTGTCCAAACTTTTGACCAGTAGTGTATATCATATGAATGATAATAACATTTTATTTTAGTTCATTCTACTGTCAGATATCAAGTTTGTTATCTATGAGTCAACTTCCCTTTCTTGTGCATCTTGCTTTTATTAATGTTCTGTGACGTTATATCGGTACTGTACCTTATGTATTTACAACACAAGGAGAAGAATGATGCTCAGAATTATTTGATATCCTAAGGCCACGTCTTATCTTGTTCATTCTGAAACCCTCATCAATTATTTACACCCAACATATTAAATAAGATAATAGGTCCATGACCCTAAAATTATTATCTCTAATCATTAATCTAAATCACACACACCGTTTTGCTAACGCTCCACAGTTCGTTCACACTATGTTGGTTGTATTAGCTTGACCTCTGCAACTAAGAGGTGAGCTGGGGTGTTCAGGTTTGTATTGTTCAATATTTAACTGATATGATATTGCTATGCCGTCAGATTTATATAGTTCTAATATATTGGTGGTAAGAGTGTGGCCGCATGGCTTAATTTAAGACACTGACTGCATTTATGTTTTTCTGTCTATTGCTGTATCTTATGCATGATGTAGTGGAATGATACTACGTTTGATTTGGAAGTTACCATTAACAATAGGAAACATAGACAACATATTTCAGATGTCTCATTTGAACTGCTGTGTTAGTGACTCAGTTTTAGTGACTTGCTCTGCTCCTATGTTCTGGTAGAGTAGTCAGACCAATGGAATTAAAACAAAACTACTTAATTTTGAGAGGACCAAGTTGTGGTTAAATTGTGAGTGTACAGAGACCATAGAGATCCTATAAACGACTATGGTATTGACTAACATGTCAAGAATTTATCAAAGGGACATTTGTGGCCAAGGAGTTGGGTGACATTATCAGGTGATATTATCATTGAACAAAATTTCCAACAGTATTATTAACCATAGATTATATAAAATCAATAGCTTGGTGGAACCAGCCTGATCGCTGCATTCACTATGAAATAGAACCATGAAATAGAATGGTAAACCAGCTATCAGGCTCGTTCCACCAGGCTACAAAATCAATGCCAGCAATTTGAATTGTGTCAAATCGATGCATATCAAACTAGAACGTTTACATTCTAAATGAAAAAGACTGATATGCCATAGCTACTACAGTTAGGTACATATGACTAGTGACTCCATCAGTATTGCTTGTGACCCTTGAACTCTTGTCTTTGAAGAAGTTTTAGAAAACCTTTTAGTTGAAACACTGTTATTCTGACAATTTCTATGGCACACATTCAACAGAATACAAAAGCAGGGTAATATAGTACTGTAATATTTGATGGAAATACTGTATGGGGGTAAAGGGGATGGGCAAAGAAGAAGGCTTTTGTAGGACATTTATTTTTCCAGCATAATGATGACGTCCTCTTCCTTTCATACTGGCCACCCTACCTTACTGTATGTAGCCTCTGCTGACCAATAAGACTCACGCATTGATTGAGATCAAACCAATACCCGTTAACTAGTGGAATCGTAGTCGCTTTAGTATGATTTGTGTTGTGTGCTTAATGCCAAATACTGTGCACCTTTCGTGTGGAGGAGCAATACTGTCTTATTTTTCCTAAAATAACTTGTTAATGTACTATTATTGGTTCCTGGTGCATGCTTTGTGTTTTGGTTCTTGTTCTCGAGACCTGTGTGTTCATGATTTGTAGCATTATTGAAAATAAAAACTCCCCATCCCAGAGAATCATAGGTGTGTTTCTAATTTCCTCTACTGGTCTGATTACTTATTGAGGGGATCAGTTGTCTCCTCTACTGATCTGATTACTTATTGAGGGGATCAGTTGTCTCCTCTACTGATCTGATTACTTATTGAGAGGATCAGTTGTCTCCTCTACTGATCTGATTACTTATTGAGAGGATCAGTTGTCTCCTCTACTGGTCTGATTACTTATTGAGGGGATCAGTTGTCTCCTCTACTGGTCTGATTACTTATTGAGAGGATCAGTTGTCTGTTATTACCTCCCGTCTGGACGGAATCCTAACTTACATTTTATATTATTATTCGTTTTTTCCTTGCCAGAAGTTCAGGACCATAAAGGACACACTAACCACAATTCAGATCCCCATGCCAGTGTGACTGACAAGCTACATTCATACTGATCTGGTTTAAGTGTAAGAGTGTGTGTGTAGGCATCTCTTGAACCCTGAGGCAGAAATAAGGCCACGGTGCAGCTGTAATCTAGACGCATCCATTCCACCACGGCCGTGATAAGCAGATGGAGAGAAGAGAACTGACCTCAGAACCAGGCTACATACAGATCTGGCTGGGGGAGGCCTCATCTAGCCACTGACTCAGGAAAAGGTTTCATTCCAACTACATAGGTTCCATTTGGGACGCACACCATGCCTGTTCTCTCCTCATATGTCATAATAATACATTATCCCCAAAATATGTTCTACCGAGACAGGCCTTACTTGCTAGAACTGACCCCAAGCAGCATTGTGTTTAGTGAAGAAGCTCTTTCCCCACTTCAGTTTCCGTAAACAACACAAAGGCAGAAACACCTTTAACACAATAAATACTTTATCATTTAAACATGTCTAGAGTCATAAATATTGAGATTGTAAAGGGTGTGTAAAGGTGTGGATAGTGGATAGTCAGTAAGGAACAGTGTAAAGGTGTGGATACAGTCAGTAAGGAACAGTGTAAAGGTGTGGATAGTGGATACAGCATGATGATATACAGAAGTTTTAAAAAAAAATTATGACAAGTTTACGTGCTCAAAATTAATCCCAAAGCGTCAAAAGAACAGTGTAAATGCTGGCACCAGTATATATAGAGCTAAGATGAAGGAATCTGGTGCTGGTGCTCATTCAGCAGGACAATGTTGTGGAACGTTCAGATAGGAATGTTAGTTCTACATTTCTCTCTGACATCATGTAAAATAAGGAATCAGCTCTACTCATGACATTTCTACCTGCAATGTTCCATAACATTTAGCTACTGAACATGGCCCTGGTGTTGTAGTTGTAGGCCTGCTGGTTGTTGTAGTTCTGACGTGAAGCTGCCCCTCCCTCTCAGAGCCGTCTCCCAGTCCCCTCCAGTTCTCTCAGCAAACGCTCATTAGTTGCAACCAGTGACCTGCAGCACAAACACAACACCATTTAGTCACAAACACTAACAAGCACTTTATTCACCCATTGGGGTATAGTCTTTTATCTTTATATTAGAATAAACAATCTGGCATCTCTTATAATGAATATCTCATTAGGTTGCTTTTAGTCAGACCGTGTTAAGATTTGTATTATCCCAAGTGTCAAGGACTTTTACTGTCCCTAGAGTGGTTGAATGCTTTTCTTAGCTCCAGGTGGTACTGGACATAGTGTAGTATCTTAGCTCCAGGTGGTACTGGACATAGTGTAGTATCTTAGCTCCAGGTGGTACTGGATATAGTGTAGTATCTTAGCTCTTGGTGGTACTGGACATAGTGTAGTATCTTAGCTCCAGGTGGTACTGGACATAGTGTAGTATCTTAGCTCTTGGTGGTACTGGACATAGTGTAGTATCTTAGCTCTTGGTGGTACTGGACATAGTGTAGTGTAGTATCTTAGCTCTTGGTGGTACTGGACATAGTGTAGTATCTTAGCTCCAGGTGGTACTGGATATAGTGTAGTATCTTAGCTCCAGGTGGTACTGGATATAGTGTAGTATCTTAGCTCCAGGTGGTACTGGATATAGTGTAGTGTCTTAGCTCCAGGTGGTACTGGACGTAGTGTAGTGTCTTAGCTCCAGGTGGTACTGGACGTAGTGTAGTGTCTTAGCTCCAGGTGGTACTGGACATAGTGTAGTGTAGTGTAGTGTAGTATCTTAGCTCCTGGTGGTACTGGACATAGTGTAGTATCTTAGCTCCAGGTGATACTGGACATAGTGTAGTATCTTAGCTCCAGGTGGTACTGGACATAGTGTAGTGTCTTAGCTCCAGGTGGTACTGGACGTAGTGTAGTGTCTTAGCTCCAGGTGGTACTGGACATAGTGTAGTGTAGTGTAGTGTAGTATCTTAGCTCCTGGTGGTACTGGACATAGTGTAGTATCTTAGCTCCAGGTGATACTGGACATAGTGTAGTATCTTAGCTCCAGGTGGTACTGGACGTAGTGTAGTGTCTTAGCTCCAGGTGGTACTGGACGTAGTGTAGTGTCTTAGCTCCAGGTGGTACTGGACATAGTGTAGTGTAGTGTAGTGTAGTATCTTAGCTCCTGGTGGTACTGGACATAGTGTAGTATCTTAGCTCCAGGTGATACTGGACATAGTGTAGTATCTTAGCTCCAGGTGGTACTGGACATAGTGTAGTGTAGTGTGTGCTTACCTATGGTTATCCTGCAGCATATCTGCCAGCTCCTTGACTCTCTCCCCCTCCTGGACCTTCTCCCTCAGCTCTGATACCTTCCTCCTCAGCTCATCCACCTCTGCCTGCCTCTCTGGAGAGAAAGACACCACAGTTAGTTAGCACATGATGCTAGCAGCAATAGAAATTCACATGGACCACAGTTAGCACATGATGCTAGCAGCAATACAGAACCACATGGATCACAGTTAGTTAGCACATGATGCTAGCAGCAATACAGATCCACATGGACCACAGTTAGCACATGATGCTAAAGCTGCAGCAATACAAATGCACACTGACACGCAACATCAACAGATATAACAGACTGAAATCAAATCAGATTTGTGGAACATCTTGCATTACTCTTACATGTGCTCTACTTCACGGTTACATGTGATCTATGTCACGGTCAGATTCTGCCCAGTATAGTGACCACTGACCAGGTATATCAAAAAGCTGCTTTTATTTCACTCACCACATATCTCAGTGTTAGGTGAACTTTTCATCATAGAGTTGAGATATTGTTGTTCTAATTTGATCATCTGTTTCTGTAGAGAGATGTTATCGTCCAATAGTATCCTCAGCTGCTCATTCACGCTGTCCTGCAATCAATCAAAAGACATTGAACATAATTCCATCCATCCATTCTCAACACTTTGTGGAGTCAGGGTCTCATGCATTTTCAAACATGAGGTAATATCATTGAAGATGCTGCTTTGAACAGTCTGAAGCTTACAACAGACATGTGTGCTTCTTTCAGCTGTGTAGTTAGTCTATGGGTCTCTGTCCTGTGTTCTTGGTCTCGTATCTCTGCCTGCTCCTTCAGCTCTTCAACGTTCCCTCTCAACGTCCTGACCTCGTCTTCTCCACTGGAGATGTCTTGTTCCATCATGGAGAGGATCTGGACTGCCTGAGCTGGAGGTAGGTCAGATAAATACTAGTAGACCCAGATTCTCCATTAAGCAGGTAAGCTATACAGTACATGGGGGGTTTCATACTCACAGAGGAAGTTGTGGTCATGGTTCAGTGGCCTCTCCCCTGTCCAGTGCTTGTCCACTAGGCTCAGCAGCATCTCCATTGGTTTCCTATAGCTTCCCTAGGAGATAGATTTGATACAATTACAAATGACTGGTTATAATGAACAGTAAGATCTAGGATGGATGAATGGTACGGTAGGGGAGGTGGGTTTTCTCTAGGATGAATGAATGGTACGGTAGGGATAGGTGGGTTTTCTCTAGGATGAATGGTACGGATAGGTGGGTTTTCTCTCTGAAATGTCTCACCTTCTGTTGCTTGGCATGTTTCTGTGGTGAGGTGGAGCCCCCTGCTGTCTGCTGAGTGTTATGGTAGGACAGTCTGGGAGGGTGCAGGATGGGGTTGGAGGCATCAGAGCTATTTGGACAGAGACTTCGTGGACTGGGGGGGCGGATCTTCACTAAGGAAGACTTAGGCTGGTCTGCTTGATCTAAAGGAGGATGAAGCCAGTGCAAAATACTCTGAATGTTGTATTAGGATATCACAGGAGGTTGGTGGCACCTTAATTGGGGAGGACAGACTCGTGGTAATGGCTGGAGCGGAAGAAGTGGAATGGTATCAAATAAATCAAACATATGGTTTCCATGAGATTGATGCCATTCCATTTGCACCGTTCCAGCCATTATTATGAGCCGTCCTCCCCTCAGTAGCCTCTACTGTAGGACATTCATGCCACATGGTTTGTGTGACAGCTGTGACACCAAATTTCTCAGAGAGGATATTCAGAGTGTGATCTCACCAGGATGAGGGGTGAAGTGGCCCTTGGCTGTGACTCTCAGGTGTTTGGGGAGTTTCTCTCGCTCCTCCCGTCCAGAGCTAGCCCCGCTGTGTTTCTCTTCACAGGGGTTAAAGGTTACCCTCGGCCCCTCTGACGTTTTCAACGAGGAGGAAGAACCTTTCATTCGAGATCCTTCTCTTAAACGTAGACCATTGGACTGGGAATGACAAGCTGATCATATGCACATTTTAGTGGTAGACCAAAATGAATGTAACTAGTTAAACATGCAATTCATCAAGTGCTGAATGTAATCAATTAAGGGTAAATCTCTGAAATCTTGCCATAAATGAGCAAAATCCCCCATGTTCCTAGGCAAAACTAAAGAACATCTGAACACTTTTGTCTCCCCCTGGTGGACTTTCCTTACACTAACAGTCATGGTGTACATCAAGCTCCAATACCAATTCATACTGTCATTTGTCAATGTAAAAAATAATGTACTATTCTGTGATGAAACAACAAACTCACACTCATCTTTGATCTGATGATAGAGCTGGGACTCTGGTTCCTTGTGGAAAGAGCCAGTAAGGAACAGAGGTTCACTTTGGTCCCAGTTGCTCTTAGCAACAAGGTTCAACACTATGTCATAGTTGTCATCCAGGACAGAGAGCTTCTTGGTCAGGCGATTTACTGAGGCCAACCTCGGCTTACTGCTCCTGGAAGACACCAATCAAACACTTATTACATCACAACATAGCAGTATTAGAAGAATATTGTATAATACAATCTATAACACTGTAATATGACAGTTGTTACACTGTACAGACTATTGGAAACAATGCCTTATAAAGAACAGTTTACTTGTTTAAAAAAAAATGACATCTGAAGTATGTTTTATAATAATACAAATCAATATTGAATGAAGACAAGAGACCTTGGTGCGCAAACAAGACCTCCTTACATTAGCAAGCTGATGTATTAACACTGTGTAGAGTACAGTACCTCTGGTCCGTGATGTCTGTCTAACCCTGTAGTGTACAGTACCTCTGGTCAGTGATGTCTGTCTCTGAGGAGCTCATCTGTTGGGGTCCGAGCGCAGAGTCTGAGGAGAAATGCATGATTGAAACTCTTCTCTCACTGTCCCTGACTGGACAGTCATCTGCAGGAAAAAACAATAAGAAAACAAACATCACATTTCAGATTGGTAAGAAGAACTATCTAACAGCAATATCATTGGACAGCCAATCGGACTCAAGATTAAAATATGGTAGCTATAGGTACCAAGCTTGCGAAGGTTGGACAGTGCGTGCACCAAGTACAGGCGGTAGTGTGGATCTGTTTTAGCCAGAGGGTTGAGCCTCAGGTCCAGCTCTCTCAGAGCAGTCAGCTTGCAGAGCACTTTGACCTCCTGAAGGGAGGGAATGCTGTTGTAGTACAAGTTCAGCCTCTCCAGCATCTTCAAGTGTTGGACCCCCTATAAATGAACAAACATAGAAAGAAACAAATGTGACTTACACATTCAGTGTGTGTCCCAAATGGCACCCTATTCCCTACATAGTGAACTACTTTTGCCCAGAGCCCTGGTCAAAATAATGCATACTATATGGGGAATAATAGTCTCCCGAGTGGCGCAATGGTCTAAGGCACTGCATCGCAGTGCTAGCTGTGCCACTAGAGATCCTGGTTTGAATCCAGGCTCTGTCGTAGCCGGCCGCGACCGGGAGACCCATGGTGCGGCGCACAATTGGCCCAGCGTTGTCCAGGGTAGGGGAGGGAATGGCCGGCAGGGATGTAGCTCAGTTGGTAGAGCATGGCGTTTGCAACGCCAGGGTTGTGGGTTTGATTCCCACGGGGGGCCAGTATAAAACAATTATTATAATAATTGTATGCACTCACTAACTGTAAGTCGCTCTGGATAAGAGCGTCTGCTAAATGACTAAAATGTAAATGTAAAATATGGAATAGAGTACCATTTTGGACGCAAGAAGATCTACACATTCAGACTTCAGTCACCATGTACTGTATACATTTGTCTGTGGAGAGACATCTCACCTCGACAGAGATGAGTGCATTACAGGAGAGGTTCAGGGTTTTCAAACGGACAAAGTTCTTTAGTGAGATTCCCAGATGTCTGATTTTCTCCTTGTACGAGCCTGGGAGGCTCAGTGATCTCACATCCGCTGTAAAGTGGTCATGAATGTTAGTAGCCAGCAAGCAGAGTAGAGTTGTTGGGTAGTTGTAGACCCATTGTAACGTTGTCCATCTTTCGCTAGATAACTAGATAGCTACCTGTTACCAGGTAAATGCAAAGTACTGTTTAGCTGGCGAGCTAACGTTAGCATTGATAAGCTATTAATGGCAGTATAAAACGTTTTTTAAATCAAACTCATCATATATCTAGCCTGCCAATTTACAAGCTACAAGTGTCAAAGATATTACCAAGGCAGTGGTGATTTAGATGTAGCTTCTCTCGTATCCACTCCTCTGTTATTGTTGTCAACAGCGCCGCCATATTGTTCGAATTTGGTGGAAGATCGAGCCGAGCATGCGCAGTTCTTTAACGTCTGGGAACGCCCACATCCTGGTACTGCTTGCCTCACATGTTCAAACAAGCGGAACAGAGACAGAGGTAAGATTGAGTGAAAACGGATATTTTTCAGCTCACATATTAAAGTTTCAATCTTGACTTTGGTTACATCAAGAGTATAAACGTGGCTAGTAACCTGAAACATAGCTGTTTACAATGTTAACACTGTACACATTGCTACGGTGCAAGACAAGTATCCTAGCAAACTTTCAACAGTGTTTTCTCAACTTTGGTATGGGATTCCACAGTTTAATTGCAGATATCTTACAACTTCTCTTTCACAAATCCCATTCAATTTCTTCACATCAAATGAACAGGGTGATTCTCTAACTGTAGCGTTGGATTTGAGTCCTCTCTTACCAGTCCTCAAGACCAATGGCAGGCTCTCTGACAGAGTTGATCACAGCATGTTCCAACATCACACTGTCAGTCTCTGCTCTGAACACAGCATATCAGCTCTTCAAGGTAATTTTAGGATATATTGGTGTTCACTTGAGTGATTAAACCATTCTCCACCCCTCATCACTCCTCAATCTGACTGTTCCCTCATCTCCCTCTTTCTCTTGTAGGACCACAGAGCTCCAGCGGTGGGTTTCTTCCTGCTTGGTCTCTCCTCAGGCCTCTGCACCCTACCTTTCTCCATCAGCCCATACCTGACCTCTATACAGGGGGTCCTGGAGTGGGCTGACGAGGTCCTGGCTCCACCACTGCTCTCCTTCGGCTTCCTGTGGCTCAGCGAAGACCGCAACACAGCCAACATCCTCCTTATTGGCTCAGCTCTCCTCCCGGTGTTCTGCGATTGGCTGTCAGCGGACGAGTTGATGCTGATGTCACGCTGCCTGGTGTTGTCAGCCCTCTCCTGCTCGCTCACCGTGTTTCTGTTTGCGGGAAACGCTGTCGGGGCCCTGGGTTGTGTGGCCCTCAGCCTGCCCCAAATGGTGGCCCCCAGGGTGGGGGTCAAGACTCTGGCTCCCCTTGTCTCTCCAGGGGCGACTGTGGGACTGCTTAAGTGGCTCCTGAAGGGCTCCATGGCTGTAGGGTGCTGGGCCTCTGAGAAGGCGCTTAGCAAGTACCTGTTGGAACTGAAGGAATTGGACTCACCATTTTAACTTGTTACATTTACATTTTAGTCATTTAGCAGACACTCTTATCCAGAGCGACTTACAGTTAGTGCATACATTTTCATACTGGCCCACCGTGGGAAACGAACCCACAACCCTGGCATTGCAAGCGCCATGCTCTACTGACTGAGCTACAGGGGAGTTACCACTGTAACACAGGGTTTTCCTAAACTCGGTCCTCGGGAACCCATGGTTTTATTTTCTTCCCTAGCACTACACAGCTGATTCAAATAATCAACTACGGTAATCATCAAGCTTTGATAATTTGAATCAGCTTTGTAGTGTTAGGGCAAAAAACTAAACGTGCACCCCTTGGAGTCCCGAGCATCGAGTTTGGGAAACGCTACTGTAACATCACTGTAACAGTTACTCACTGTCTGAACAGATCAATGGTCCCTCACACATGATAGTGACTGATAGTTAAGTTGATGTGGTCTCATGATGTGCACATAGAGCTACTGACAGAAGAGAACGAGATGGATGGTCTATTTATTTTGTCCTACAGGGCCTTGCCTCATAGAAATAGAATGAATAGAACGGTCTTGGAACCTCTGGCGATTTGACTGGTAAAGTCAATCACTGGCCAATCACCTTTACAATTCCTACTGGCCAATCACCTTTACAATTCCTACTGGCCAATCACCTTTACAATTCCTACTGGCCAATCACCTTTACAATTCCTACTGGCCAATGACCATTCCAAGAGATTATCCATATGATGATGTCAGTTTGCCAACTTGGAGGTCACATGATCCAGCAAGTGGCTCTTGCCAGTGTATGAGCACTGTCAAGGGCGTTGTTCTATTTGTTGTTCAGCTTATTGTCATGGCCAGAGAGCTCTGCTCTGTTATCCAAGTACTTTCATCTGGTGTCTAATTCGAAAACTATAAACATTATTGATGATATTAGGAACAGGGGTTAATAACATTTTATGTGCCAAAATGTTGATTTGATAAGCTAAATTATCAACAAAAGGAGTAGTGCTTGGATCTATAAGGAGCATCCAGACGCTGCACTTGATGAATTTATGAAATTGCTTCTTCCAATTATTGATAAACATGTACCTCTTAGGAAACAGACTATTAGAACTGCTAAGGCTCCGTGGATTGATGAGGAATAGAAAAACTGTATGGTTGAAAGAGATGGGGCAAAAGGAGTGGCTAATAAGTCTGTGTAACAATGCCACTGTGAGTCGAGAAGCAGGTGCAGGTGAAACGTTTAATAAAACTTGAAACGAGACAGCGTAACAGTGGCGATATAGCATAAACACAGGAACAATACCGACTGAGGACTAAACGTAAGGGAGGGACATATAAAGGGAAGGTAATGAGGAAGGTAATGGAGTCCAGGTGTGAATCATAATGATCTGCAGGTGCGCGTAATGATGGATGCCAGGTGTGCGTAATGATGAATCCCAGGACCGGTGGTTAGTATTCCGGCGACGTCGCACGCCGGAGGGGAGGAGCAGGAGTAGACGTGACAGTCTGGCTGCACGTCTGACTGGTTGACTTACTGTAAATTGAGAAATTATGTGACTAAACTCAACAAAAAGAAGAAGAAACTCTATTATGAAGCCAAAATCAATGATATAAAGAATGATGGAAAAAAAACTTTGGAGTACTTTAAATGAAATTATGGGCAGAAAGACAAATTCAACACCATCTTTCATCGAAACAGATGGCTTATTCATCACAAAACCATTTGATGTTGCCAATTATTTTAATGATTACTTCATTGGCAAAGTGGGAAAACTTAGGCAGGAAATGCCAACAATGAACAGTGAGCCATCGTATTCATGCATAAAAAAACAAATACTGAAAGAAAAGCATTGCAAGTTTCAATTTTGTAAAATTAGTGTGGGAGAGGTGGAAAAAGTATTGTTATCGATCAATAATGACAAACCTGGCATTGACAACTTAGATGGAAAGCTACTGAGGATGGTAGCTGACTCTATAGCCACTCCTATCTGTAATCTGAGCCTAGAGGAAAGTCTTTGTCCTCAGGCCTGGAGGGAAGCCAAAGTAATTCCGCTACCCAAGAATGGTAAAGCGGCCTTTACTGGTTCTAACAGCAGACCTATAAGCTTGCTGCCAGCTCTTTGCAAACTGTTGGAAAAAATTGTGTTTGACCAAATAAAATGCTATTTCTCTGTAAACAAATTAACAACAGACTTTCAGCATGCTTATAGGGAAGGGCACTCAACATGCACTGCACTGACACAAATTACTGATGATTGGTTGAAAGAAATTGATAATAAGATTGTGGGAGCTGTACTGTTATTGAAGTCACTGAAACCCTTAACAAAGAGTTGCAGTCTGTTTTGGAATGGGTGGCCACTAATAAACTGGTACTGAACATCTCTACAACTAAGAGCATTGTATTTTGTACAAATCATTCCCTAAGTTCTAGACCTCGGCTGAATCTGGTAATGAATGGTGTGGCTGTTGAACAAGTTGAGGAGACTAAATTACTTGGCGTTACCTTAGATTGTAAACTATCATGGTCAAAACATATACATTGTAGTCATAAAACTGGGGAGAGGTCTGTTCGTAATAAAGAGATGCTCTGCTCTTATCCAGAGCAACTTACAGGAGCAATTAGGGTTAAGTGCCTTGCTCAAGGGCACATCGACAGATTTTTCACCTAGTCGGCTCGGGGATTAGAACCAGCGACCTTTCGGTTACTGGCACAACGCTATTAACCACTAAGCTACCTGCCGCCCACCATTGAATATAGATTCAATGGTTGTAAAACTGGGGAGAGGTCTGTTCGTAATAAAGAGATGCTCTGCTCTTATCCAGAGCAACTTACAGGAGCAATTAGGGTTAAGTGCCTTGCTCAAGGGCACATCGACAGATTTTTCACCTAGTCGGCTCGGGGATTAGAACCAGCGACCTTTCGGTTACTGGCACAACGCTATTAACCACTAAGCTACCTGCCGCCCACCATTGAATATAGATTCAATGGTTGTAAAACTGGGGAGAGGTCTGTTCGTAATAAAGAGATGCTCTGCTTTTTTGACACCACTCTCCAAAAAGCAAGCTGCAGGCTCTAGTTTAGTCTACTCTTGTGTATGTAGTTCTGTCCTTTGAGCTCTTCTTGTCTATTAATGTTCTGTATTATGTCATGTTTCATGTTTTGTGTGGGCCCCAGGAAGAGTAGCTGCTGCTTTTGCAACAGCAAATGGGGATCCTAATAAAATACCAAAATACCAAATCTAATGCTTGTATGTATTGATTATTGTCATGGGTCGCAGTGCTGTGTTAATCTTCCTTGAGAAAATGATTTGCAGCATTTTAATCCACTCCTAACCTCTTTTACACCGCATATTAGAAAGTCGAATTAATCTATGGATGTTGATTTACAGGACAGTGTAATTACCAATTGGCTATAAAAGATTCTATCTGCTTACTCTGTGAAAATAGCCTCCAACAGTGGCTCAATGAGGAGGATGGAAGTGCCTTCCAGACATGTATTACAGTCTTTGTCTATGAGGATGCCTCACAAATCACACCCTATTCCCTATGTAGTGCACTACTTTTAATCAGAGCCCATTTCGGGAATAGGGTGACATTTGGGGCACACTCTGGGTGAACCTGGGCTGGCTTGACTTCAGTGTCTTGTCCTGCGATGAGCACCAAACAGCTTGTACTGGACTATGCTCACTGTGAAGCCAATTTCATTGACACACAGGACACGTCTGAGAACCAATAGCTTTAGTGCCTGAACATGGCCGCGTCCCAAATGGCACCCTATCCCCGATATAGTGCACTACTTTTGACCAGAGCTCTATATGGGCCCTGGTCAAAAGTAGTGCACTATAAAGAGAATAGGGTGCCATTTGGGACATATCCCTCAGTCCCCTCA